GGGGGGGCCGCGCATGCGCGCCGCGTGCCCGCCCCTCGCCAGCAGCAGAGGAGGAGGTGGCGGTGGCGGCTCTGGGCGAGGGAGCGCGAGGGGAGTGAGAGGCGCCGTTGCCGCCCCGGTATCCGGCAGGACCGCGCGGAGGAGGCGGGAGCGCCCCGGCGCCGGAGGGACCTGAGTGCGCAGCCCCGTTGCAGCCCCCCCCCTCCCTCCCGCCCTCCGCGCTCCGCAGCCACCAACATGTCGGCGCCGGCGGCCAAAGTCAGTAAGAAGGAGCTGAACTCCAACCACGATGGGGCCGACGAGACCTCAGGTGAGGCCGCGCCGGGGGCGGGACGGGAATGGCGGCAGCCGGCGCGGCCTCCGCCTCGCGCCGACCGCCATTTTCCCCCGCCGCACGGGCCGCGGCCGCGCCGGGGGCGGGCGGAGCGCGGGCCCGGCCGGGCGGATGTGCAGGCCCGGCGGCGGCGGGAGGAGGCCATGTTAGCGCCCTTTTGTCTGCGCTGCCGGCCCGGCTTCCCTCCCCGCGGGGCCGGGCGGGGGGCGCTGCGGCTCGGCGGAGCAGCGGGACCCCCCCGCCGCCCCTCCCGGAGCAGCATCCGCGGAGCCTCATTGTGCTCCGCCGCCGCCGCCATGATGCGCCGCCGCCTCCCGCGCCGGCCGCGGCCGCGTGGTGCTGCCGGGCCGCGCGGGGATGGAGCGGCGGAGACACGCGGTGCTGGGGCCGCCCGCGCCGGCCCCACGTGCGATCCCGGCTTTTAAAGGTCGGGGTTGCCCCCGGCCGCAGCGCCGTCCCCACGTGCGTGCCCCGCGCCGGGAGAGGCAGGGCTGTCCCCCAGCGCGGGCCGGGCCGTGCGGGACGCGCACCGGGCGCTGCTCCGCTCCTGCCGCTTCCCGCTGCCGCTCATTCATCTCCCGCGCGGTGGGTAAACAGCGCTCCGTAACCCCGGCCTCGGCCAAACTTGCTCCAGGGGAAGTGCCCAATAGAAAATACCTGCCAAACGGCGGCTTTCGCGTCTCTTTCATTTGTAATTGTCTTTTTGAACGTTCTTTTCGGTTTTTGGAAGGTGGCATGTGCCCAGATAGGCTATTTCTATTGATATTCCAGCGCTCTGTAAATTACTGTACGTTTCTTTAAATGTGTTGGTCGTAGCAAATGTGGCTTACAACTTTTTAATTAAAATATTATTGGCTTATAATTTAAGTTGGCTTGTAAAACAGTGTAGCGGGATGTGAGCTGTGGTTTCTAAGGGTGAACTCACTTTAAGGGCTGTTTTATCAAACTTTGCTGCACTTCAGCTGCAGCACGCCCTGTAAAGCTGGTGCTTTGAGGCCTTGTAACTCTTGTGACATTCAATAGAAATACTTGAGAACTTCTGCAGTAGATCGCTAGAAAATTTCTCAAAGAGAAACCCCAGGTGATTTGTCAGGCTCGTGGATGAAGGGATATTGACACATTTTCATCTGTTTTTCAGAAAAAGAGCAACAGGAAGCAATTGAACACATTGATGAAGTACAGAATGAAATAGACAGGTAAACATTATCTAACTTTTAAAATATTTTAGCAGAAGTTGAAATGTAGCTGACAAAAGTGAAAGTGTGTAGTAAAGTGAGCACTCACTAGTACTCACTGTCTTTGAACTCCACCAAGATATACCTGTGTTCTGACTTGATTAGAGACATTAAAATAACAAAGAAGTGTCCTGGTTTCTTGCTTAATTGTGTATAATTAAAGAGGTAGAACTTGAGTTTAAAATTCTTAATTAATTGTGGTATTTTTACTAGTAGAAATGTATTTCACATTGGCCTCTCAAGTTAATGTGTAAGCTGTTTGGCTAAAGTATTTCCCTGTTAGCAAGCAGAACCAAACACTTGGCTGAAAAGTCAGGTTTTATTATACATTTTTATTATAATATTCATGTGCTTGTGCAATAATAAGCAGAAAATGTCTCTGAGATGTTAATTTTTGATGCCAAAGCTCTTGGGGCTGTGTGTTCTGTGTCAGTCCCTGCCTGCATGTTCTCTCCATGCCCAGTGTCCTACAAGGACTGCAGGTGGCTGTTGGGGCTGTGAGTGTGTGAAGCTGTTGCAGTGTGAGGGCTTTGCCTTTTTGCAACAACTTCTCAATTTTAAGTCTTCAGATTTTACTTGCACAGGGTGCAGAATTTCTTTGCTGTAGCTTCCTTGCCTGCCCAAAAGTTTTAGGGGGCAGGTGGTAGAGCTGTGTTACCCTTCTGCAGGTTTTATGCAGGCAAAATGTTCAAGAGGTAAAACACTGCTTTGTGTTTAGAAGGTTCCATTCAGACCAGCGAGATTGCTTCTGGCAGAATGTTTTTTAACAGTTCTTGCTGCTCTGAGCTTCTGGGGTTTTTGGGACACTTCATCTGCAGAAGATGGCAGACTGGTCTTATCAAACCCTTTCAGCTTGTAGTTGACTGCTCTGATGTGTCCTTAAATCCCAGTTCTCCCCCTGTGGTTAACATGGCTCTTTCTATTACAGACTGAATGAACAAGCCAGTGAGGAAATTTTGAAAGTAGAACAGAAATACAACAAACTCCGCCAACCATTCTTCCAGAAGAGGTCAGAATTGATCGCCAAAATCCCAAATTTCTGGGTAACAACATTTGTCAACCACCCACAAGGTACATTCTTAATAGCCCTCTTTTTTTCCCCTGTAAATTCAGTGTTTGCTTGATTGTTATGTGAGTGCCTTAAAGCTCTTGTCTTGCGGTGTTGTTACTGAGCATACAGAACACTTCCTCTCTGTCCTAGATTTCATTGTTTAAGCTTTGTCTTTCTTGCACTTGTTGGCCAAAGGAACGTCTTGTTTATTAAAATATTTCAATCCTAAAATTTCTTTCTGCATTTTAAATTGCAAGTTTCCCGCTTTATTCAGTTCATTGGGAACTTAAAGCAATTAAAAAAAACAAAACAACAAAAAAATTGTTTTAGATTGTCTGGGTGTTTTTTACTTGGAATGAGCTCCTTGGGACTCTGACAATAAACTTTCTACAAAACAAGTTCGTAGACTGCTTAGATTGGGCAAACTACATGCATGAAAATCTGTTTCAGAGGGAAGGGTGGGTATGTGTGGGTAGGCTGTTGGCTGGTAACTTGAAAAGGAAGAGCCATGAGAAATTGGCTGGGACAGATGTGTTGCTTTTTAGATCTTCCTGGCTATCAGTTTCCTGTGTTTTGCCTGCCTGTTTCATAATGTGGGATTCCTCCTTCTTTCTCAGTATCTGCACTGCTGGGAGAAGAAGATGAGGAAGCACTGCATTACTTGACCAGAGTTGAGGTGACAGAATTTGAAGACATCAAATCAGGTTACAGAATAGATTTTGTAAGTACTTTAAATGGTTCAGTCACTTGTGATTTTGCTGTCATTTTTTTAATGTTATTGCATGTTGGGTTGTAGTTTATAACTTAAATCTCTACACTTACCTATTCAGTGCCAGGTTTGACTTGATTTGTGTGTTTCCATTCTGTGGGTTCTAACTCTTTGCTTTCCACTCTGCAGTATTTTGATGAGAATCCCTACTTTGAAAATAAAGTTCTCTCCAAAGAGTTTCACCTCAATGAAAGTGGAGACCCATCTTCAAAATCTACTGAGATCAAATGGAAATCTGGAAAGGTATGTATTGCATCTGGGAGAGCACAAGTGTGACCAAGTGAAAACATTACCAAGTGCATTAGCTTGACTCTTCCTTGGCCAGGATCTAGACTGTGTTGTATTGTTTACTTAAAATAACTGTTAAATGAAGCATTCCAAGGACAACAGGTTTAGGGGGATCAGATAGCAGTGTGTGATCTTGTTTTATATTTTACTCTATGTCTTCGACTTCATTTCCAGATGCCACATCTTTTGTAGAATTTGCAGCCATAGTAATGTGGGCATACCTGTCACCCAGGCAGTGTTCAAGAATCATTAATTTACTGCAGTTTATATCTGTGGAAGTTCTTCAGTGTTATCCTGAGGATTTTGAACTGAGTTCTTAAAAGTAGAGCTGAGGCTTGCAGTGAAATTGCAGTTTGTTTTGTCACTCTCAGACCAAGGAGAAAATCTAATGTTTTTCGTATTGAGAGCTAGAATTTTTCCTCTTGTACCAGAAATTGCATTCCTGTACAGACCAGTCGTGTCATCTTTACAATACAGCACAAAATCAGTGTGAATTCTGCTTTGTTCTTATTAAACAGTCTAAACCTATAAATGTTGTCATTCTGTCAGGAGAAAAACACATTGGAAGTATGGTGTAACCATATGGTGAAAGAAATAATTTATTTAATTTCAGACTTAACAAAAGGATTGTTGCAAACTTACTACACTTATTTTCTAGGATAAGGTGATAGGTACAGACCTTACATGTATTCTTGTCACCATGTGTTTTAGCAGTTTGTGTGGGGTTTTTTTGCACATACTATAGAATGGCCTGAAGACTTCAGAGTGGGAAATCTTAGGCAAAAAAGCCTAGGCAGGTCTTTATATCCAAATGCTAAAAGAGCTTAGAGGTGTGGAGACTTCCTTAAATTGGGTGTATGTAGTAGTTGCTGCAATTACAATTATTCTGAGTGGCATTTAGTCATTGTGAGACCTTGGAAGTTCAGTGTGTCATTAAACACTCGTCATACTTGTGTTTCCCTGAGATTATGTGAATTTTCAGTGTTCCAGTGGAGGCCATTGAAAGAAACAAATGGGTTTACTGTTCTCTCATGTTCATGAGAAATGCAATATCTTGTGTCAGTTGTTTGGGCTTCAGATGTGTTTTACAGACTTACCTTCAAAGAGGGAGGGGAAAGTGACTTTTGAGGGTTGTTTAGACAAGTACATTTTTAAGTGGTGCTTATAGGGAAAAAACACCATAGAAAGACAACTTCAGAGAACTTCTTAACTTTCTTTTCAGGACCTGACAAAACGTTCAAGCCAGACACAGAACAAAGCCAGTAGGAAGAGGCAGCATGAAGAGCCAGAAAGCTTCTTCACCTGGTTCACTGACCACTCTGATGCAGGGGCTGATGAGTTAGGAGAAGTCATCAAGGATGACATCTGGCCAAATCCCCTACAGTACTACTTGGTAGGTAGAGCCCTGAGCAGGGCATCTGCACCCTCAACAGCTCTGGGAAAGAGTGGTTTGGTCACTGTAGATGATGTTGCAAATGTGTCTTTAAGGTTCCTGATATGGATGATGAAGAAGGGGAGGGAGAGGAGGATGACGATGATGATGAAGAGGAGGAAGGATTAGAGGATATTGATGAAGAAGGAGATGAAGATGAGGGGGAGGAAGATGAAGATGATGATGAGGGAGAGGAAGGAGAGGTGAGTAATTTTTCTCTTCATGCCACTCGTGTGGTGTTTGGGAGGGATCTTGTAAGAATACCAAGCCGTTGTGGCAAAGGTGAACTGACTCTTTTCTGCACCCCAAGGTGTGAGAACTGTGACTGCATTAACCTGAGTGGTTTCAGGTAGCAATAAGTATGTTTGTGTGTATGAGAGACAGTGGAAGTACATAGTTTCAGTAAATTTGTAAGGGAAGTGCTCTAGGAGAACTAAGATTAATGTGACAAAATTCTTACTTCATTACTGAGTATTCTAGCAGTGCTTTACATATAAATGGCTTTTGTTGATACATCCAGTCATCCTTCCCACTTGTTGGTTTATTTCTGCTTATGGCCAGCCTAGCTAAGACTTTCTGTTGGGCTCAGGTATTAAAACTTTGCTTTAGTAGTAAGTGGGAGTTCAGGTTCAGCATCCAGGGTGTTGGGAAGTTAGTTTAGAATGTCTTTGTTTCTTGAAACTGGGCGTGGTGTGTCTGACTTCAGCAGCACAAACCTCTGGGCTCTGTTCTGTAACCTAGAATTTGGCATGTGAAAGGTGAAGCATTTTGTTCTTCGGAGTTCTGAATGAGGGGGAAGAGATGACCCCTTCATTTTCCACGTGTTAAACTCATGTCACTGCTTGTAGTGATTCTAAACCACAGTTTCTCAAACCTCTGATGTGTTTTCCTTGGGACACCCAGGGAGTGAGTGATTTCTGTGTGGTCAGTAGCTGGGCACCCAGGGCAAGTGTTACCATCCTTTAGTGAGGGAAGAGATGATCATACAGCACCATGAGTAGCACAGTAAAAAGTTCTGGTCACTGCATTTGCTATCTAAAGTTTAGTGATTAGATTTATTTAATTCTTGCTTATCTTTCAACAGGAGGATGAAGGAGAAGATGACTAATTGAACACTGATGGATTCCAAACCCCCTTTTTACCTTTTTAATTTTTCTCCAGTCCCTGGGAGCAAGTTGCTGTCTTTTTTTTCTTGTGCTCAGTCGCCTTGTTCTCTTGAGGTCTCTTTTTCTCTCCTCTACACCATGGTTCACAATTTCTTTTGGGGAAATATCTTGAGCAGAATACAGTGGAAAAAAATCTACCAGTTTCTGTTTCAAGTTCATTTTTATCCCTTTCTGTCTCAAAACAAAAACTGTTTATGAATTCAACACACCATGTTCTGTGGGAAAAAAGAAAACCTTCTGCTCCCTTCACTCTGCTGGAAGCTGAAGAGTGCTAGGCCCCTGTGTAGTAGTGCATAGAATCTAGCTTTTTTCCTTCTTTCTCTGTATATTGGGCTCAGAGATTACACTGTGTCTCTATGTGAATATGGACAGTTAGCATTTACCAACATGTATCTGTCTACTTTCTCTTGTTTAAAAAAAAAGAAAAAACAACAAAAAAATAAAAATAAAAATGGGGTTATAGAAGGTCAGCCGGGGTGGGTTTCAGAAGTTTGGGTGGGTTAAGTGGGCATTTTGACAACATGGCTTCTTCTCCTTTGGCATGTTTAATTGTGATGTTTAACAAACATCCTTGCAGTTTAAGATGACACTTTTAAAATAAAATCTTCTCCTAATGATGACTTTGAGCCCTGCCACTTGATGGAGAATCAGCAGAACCTGTAGGATCTTATTTGGAATTGACATTCTCTATTGTAATTTTGTTCTTGTTTATTTTTAAAATTTTTTTTTTTTTTTTTTTTTTTTTTTTTTTTTTTTTTTTTTTTTTTTTTTTTTTTTTTTTTTTTTTTTTTTGTTTCACTGGAAAGGAAAGAAAGATGCTCAGTTTTAAACGTTAAAGTGTACAAGTTGCTTTGTTACAATAAAACTAAATGTGTACACAAAGGGACTGGTTGGTCTTCACTGAAAGAAACAGCTTTTATATCCTATTTAGAACTTGCTGTAGTTTCTTGGCATTTTTGGGGGCATTTTGTCAGTATTTCTGTAGTGCAGTGCAGCCTTGTGGTTGTGTGGACTGAACCAGTTCATGTAGTTCCCACTATTTCAGTACCTGTAAAGGGTTTCCTGTGGTAGTTCCTACTGCACACTGACTCTTGAGTTCCCTCTAGGGTCGTGTGCTGTGTGTGAAGACACAGGTATATATTCATGTTTTGCAAAAAGGAAAGTCACTTGATTTGTAGAATTTTTAGTAATTTGCAGTACTGTATGTCCAGTACATCAGTTTGCATGAAAATACCATGCAAGCTCAGAATAAAAAGACCAACGGGTGGTTTTAAAATATTTGGGTGGGTTTGTAAATCTTTTCAGTTGAAAACAAATCTTAATTGCAAGCTAATTTGGGGGCTATTTCAAAGAGCAAGATTCTTAGTAAAGTTCATGTATAAAAAGTTGCTACTTCACTGCTTTTTTTTCCTTGGTAGCAGCATGTATATGTGCTTTAGATACACTGTACTCTCATTTTAAGAGACTGCATTTGAGAAACTTGTAACAATTTCACATAAGAGGGTGTTGGAACTGGTATTCCACAAAATGTAATGGAAGTTGTTTTAACATGCTTTGCTTTTGAAATATTTAAGAAAAAATGTTCTATCAGCTCATCTGAAATTCAAACAGCTCTTTGGATGTGTAGAAAAGACTGTCTTCTGGGAAGACTTGTTATATTCTCTGATTCCTTTTCCTCACAGAATTTGCTGTAGTCAAATTCAGCTTTTTTTGATGCCTAAGAATACACTTGGCAGAACAAGATCCATGTCTGGTTGAGACGTGCACAAATAACATGTGTGAGGGAAAACATTCTGTAAGTGTGTGGTCCACCTTGGATTCAATCCAGTTACCAGAGACAATGCAACGTCCAGTCTCATGTGATCAATGCAAAAATAAGACAACCATGTACTTTATTCCATCTCAACAAAAGCTTCTGCCCTCATCCTGCTTTGCAGAGCCAAGTACAACGTTGATCAGTAATGGTTTCTTACCATCTAGAGAGACAAGGAACAAAACCCATGAAGTCCTATAAATTTTAGTGTTTTTTAATTTGATTCCTTTCTGTTGTAAGATTGAAAATAGCTTCCTGTTGTGGTAGAGGGTCGATGTGCTGTTTCTTGCCATGATGCCTCATTACTTAATTTTTATGTAGTCCTAATTGTAGTTCCTCAAGGAAAATAATCTTTTGCTAGTCTTGAATGCTTTAGGAAAAATATTGTGCCATTGTTGTTCCATCCCTGTTGGTTACTAGTAGAAAACTTATAAAAACTGTTTTGAAAGTAATCAAAGCTTCAGGCTCTGTAAAGTCAAATACCAGGGACAAGAAATGAAAAGTCTGGATAATTAAATGCTACTTAAGAGATTTTTCTTGCGCATTCTTTAGGATTTTACAGGGTGCCAAAATACTCTTGCTACTGTACTGATAATACTGAATTTGCTGTGAAACTTGAGGGTTTACTCCTGGCAATGGCTAAAGAGTAAACTGACATGGTAAAAGAATAAACCATATTAGTTAAGTGTTATTTTAAGGGTTTTTTTAGCATGGCAATGATTAGGGATTAACACATTTCTCTGCAATGCTCAAGAAATACTACAGCTGGCCATCGTGTGCTCTGACTGTTCACTTAATGTCTAATTTGGCTGAATATATGTAATGGGTGTCCATTTTTTACTGGATTTATTTTATATGTGTATAAAGAGCTTTTGAAAAGACATCTACCTTTGATAATAATGGGAGATTCATTCTTATTAAATATCATTAATTCCCCATTGCTTGAGCTCCTCACATACAGTTAATCCCACCATGTGGAATTTGTCACAGGTGGTAAATGACTTCAGGTTTTTTGGCTTGAATTTCCAGGGTTAGAACATAGGGTTGGCAGCAATTTAATAAAGGTAAAGCTGCTGTGCTGGGGCTATATGGCCTAACTATCTCAAAGGTTATTTTTAAGTTTAAAGTTTAATTGCTATAAAATGGAATCTTTTGTCTGTAATTTCTCGTGCCAAAGGAAACAAATACAGCTGAGTGTGTAAATACAGTCAGGAAGGTTTGGGGTTTTTAAAGAGATTATCTGTGTACTTATTCATACTTGTCAACATAGTTTCTGTCCCTGTAAACAAAGATTATCTGAATCGATTTTTCAGTCATTTATGATATTCATTTGAATCTGTAAGCTCTTTGTACCACACTAAACCAGGTGCATAAGGATAGTTCTTTGTTTATTGGATACTGTTCCTGAATTTTGAAGCCATGTTGTTTTTTGTTTTGATTTGTTTTTTTTTGTTTTTTAAAGAGAATGAAATCAATGAAATAATTTCTCTGCTGTACCTTCAAGCTATCCTTCTGTTTGAAGGAATTAAAATACATTTAACTGTTACTTGATGTTACCATTTCTAAGAGTCTTTTTCAAAAGAATCAGGTTTTTAGTCCCCAACTCTTTCTTTCACGGGTGATGTGGACAGTGCTTGCTTTTCCTTTATGGAGAAGAGTGAAGGGAGGTCGCAGGTGACTGGTACACGACACTTGCTTCCTGCGGGAAACAGATTTATGCTTAATGTCCTTCCTCCCTCTCTTGGATTAAAAACTGAAACTTTTAAAGACTTTTTCTTGATCCTCACCTTTTCCGCGTGCTCTCTCGGGTATAGTGGAGGACAGGGACTGCCGGTTCAAGGTCAGGACGCACCTTTAGCCCCCGCCCTGCTCCGGGAACCCCCAAAGAGTCCGCACAGCTCCCGGGCCGCTGCCCTTTGCCGGCTGCTGGGCAGGACCGGCGCCGGGATCATCCCCGGCACCAGGGCTGCTGCCCTGCGGGATCCTGGAAGGGCTGGAGGGGCACATCGTGCTCCCAGTGTGACACTTGCCTTCCCGCGGGCCAGGGGGCTGCCGCATGGGCAGGCGCTGCTGATCCCACGTACCGGCCCCCTCTCTCCGCAGGGTTTGCGGGACGCAGCTGAGCCGTGCCCGGGGAAGGGGGCTGGGATGCTGGGTAGCCAGGGACGCAGTTTCTGCGGTCACCCGGGAGATGAGAGCCAGCCCTTTCCCTCCAGGCTGGGGAACTCCAGCTCCCCAGCATCCCTGATAGCCCTTGCCCTTCCTCTGCCTCCCCTGGAGGGTCTGAGACCTGAAGGAAAGAGGGGGAAGCTGCTGTAGGAGCCCCGAGTGCGTGGTGGGCAAAGGAGCCCAGCCCAGAGCCCCCCGGGCACATCCCCAGTGACAGCCACACACAGCCTTGATCCCGACTGCTGGGACGGATCTGCTGCAGGTGTGGAGGCATCCCTGCTCCTCTGGAACTCAGTCTACGCTTGATAGTTTGATTTTCCCCCTTCCAGTATTTCCACTGAATGAGCAGTCAAATTAAAATAACTGCTTTAAACACTAAACAGAGCCTGGACCATGTTCTAAATAGCATCAGGTTTCTGAAGGGTTTATATTAATCAAATGCACTTGCTTTATTAACAACAGGGGCATATTCAAAGGCTTTGTATTAGTTTAAGGCTTTATTAATTTAAGTCAGTTAAGATAGGTTCAAATGTTTAAATTTTATTATGAGTTCCTTTTATTAATTACTCTTGCAAATCACTTACAAAATGTTTAGGCTAGAAAAATTTTTCTAATTAAGTAAAAGGAACACACTTCTGTTTATTAGTGTATTTCTAAATTTGTATGTGAGAATACTATCACTTCCAAATGCCTTCTGATTCACAGTTGTGCACTGCTCCATGATTGAAAAGCATATTAGTAGGATAGTAACATTGTGTAATACTGCTGAGGAGCACCTTTAAACACCTGAAAACGAGAAGTAGATTTATATTTTGTTTAAAGCACTGGGCCTGTGACACACTATCGGTTCTGTGTGATACTGTGGCACTACTACAGCACGGTGTTTTTTCACTACGGTAGCTAGGGGATTGTTACCGGCCTCGCCAATGCATATGGGACGTTTTTTCACTCAAATGTTCAGCAGAATCTGCGTGTGAAGGGGAAAACTTCCCCAGAGCCCAGCACCGCCCCGTTCCAGGGAAGGGATGCAGGGATCCCGTCGCAAGCAGAGCTGCACTTCGCTGGTTCCCCTTCGAACAAGCGCCGGTCACGAGCCCCTGTGGAGAACTGAAACTGGGAACCACCCGATGGCCGCGGCACCAAGGGCCCGGCTGGGGCCACCCGCGGGCCTTTCTGCTCGGGGCTTCCAGAGGGACGGAGCGGGGATCCGCCACTGTGCCTCCCGTCCCCTCCCTTCGGCACGGACCCGCAGCCTCTGTGCCACCGCGGGCACCGACCCCTCCAGCCTCTCTCCAGCCTCTCCTTCCCCGGCGGGCGATGTCCGCTACCTCCGCGTCCGCGGCGTCCTCGCTCCTTCCCGCCGCCTCACCGGACCTCGACCGCGCGTTTCCCCTCGGGGCGGGCGGAGGCGGCGGCACCTCCTCAGCCGGGGGCCGGAGCGGCGGCTGCCCCGGGGCCGTGTGGGGAAGGGCGGCTCCCGCTCCTCGTCCCGCTCCCGAGGGCGGCCCGCCGGCAGCTCCCCCGGGCCGCCCCCGCGAGAGGGCGCTGGCGGCGGCCCCGGGACCGCCGAGTTTGAAAAGTGCCGGTCCGGGCGGAGCAATGGCGGCCATGGCGACCCCGCAGGTGAGCGCTGAG